TCTCTTCTCTTCTCTTCTCTTCTCTTCTCTTCTCTTCTCTTCTCTTCCCTTCCCTTCCCTTCCCTTCCCTTCCCTTCCCTTCCCTTCCCTTCCTCACCTCCCTTCCTCTCCCCTTCCCTTCTCTTTTCCTTTTTTTTTTTTTACAAATACAGCTCCAAACGTTCAGATTTATATGATTGGAGGATTGATTTCACCTTTGTTTATTATAGTAGCATCACTGCTCACTTACAAATTTTTCAAAGTTGACATCGTCCTTTGGTACCGGGATTCTTGCCAACATCTCAGCAAAGGAAGTAAGTTTGGCTTTAATAATGTGATGTCGTCTGATAAAGAATAAAGGTTTTGATGCTTTCTAAACAGTTTGCAACTTTTCTTTGACTTTATATCTTACCATTTCTGCTCCAAGGGACTAGATTATAATTTATTGCTAATATAAAGAACATATTTTTTTGTAATTTTAGTGTTTTGTGATTGCATTAATGAATTAAGAACTATGGATTCCCTTAAGGGCTCTAATAATGGATTGTTGATTATAAATCTTGTGGGATTTGAGTTCTTTGGAGATTCTCAATCATCCATTTAGTGTCCCAAAGGTGCTTTTCCAAAAGGCACTTTGACTTTCTTGGCTTTTCTTTGAAAACATTTTTTAATCCAAGTCATGAGGCCACTTGGGCATTCATCTGTACCCTCGGAGTCACCTGAGTGCAAATGGGTGTGGAACCTTCTCTGGACTGCTGAAAGGACTGTATTGTAAATAGGGGGTGTCATATCCCTGTCCCTCTGTTGAGAGGGCTGTTCAGTTTTAACATAGATGGTCTCTTTGAACCCTCTTTCAAATTAGTAGTCCTCTCTGTCCCGAATGTGAACTTTAAAGTTCACATTGTTGAAGTTTGAGGTCACATTCTGGACACATTCTGGAACTTCAAATTTCCAGAAAGACAAGAAAAAAACCAAGGAAGTCCAGTTGCCTTTTGGAAAAGCACCTTGGTGTAAAATTTTTGGGGAGGTTAGAAACATCAGCAAACAAAGAATTGAAATGTTAGGCTAGCTGCATTTATTTACAGGAGTTGAACTTAAAAACAAAGAACTTATCTGTTTCATTCATAGTTTAAAAAAAGCAGTGGGGGGAAAAAAAGAAATAAACCAAGGTGAATGACAAAACTGAAATTCCTTGATTGTCTTATCTACTGATTTTGTTTCCAAGTAGAATTTTAGAGCTTTTATTTAGAATTTTAAACTTTTATTTTATTTATTCATTTATTTGATTTGTCAGTCATTTACAAGATAATAGGTATAAATATAAACATGAATAAGAATACAGGAAATAGGTACGAATAAATTGGGACAATAGGACAGGGACAGTAGGCACAATTGTGCCCTTATGGATTTTTTTTCTCAATTCAAAACAAAACAAAACGAAGAGGACAAGATTTGGACACTTTTCCACACTCTAACCTCTTGCCTTGTATGGTTAGGGAAGGGCAGAAGAATATAGGAAAATAAAACTTCTATAAAATCTTGTACTGTATACTGATATCAATTAACTGATATATCCTTTGTATATTATCTTGTATACTCTGCAGGACTTGCTTCAGCAGTCACTAGAAGTTAACACTGACTTAAAAGGCATAAAATATTGATTGATTGACTGACTGATTACAGATATTTCTGTGCTCCAAAATGACACTAAGTGACAATAGTTATTATGTCAGGAATAAAAGGAATGGAGAAAATGATTTGAATAATTATACTTTGTTTAAGGTGTAGTCTGAAAAAAATGAGATACTGTATTGGATTTTCATTAGTGACTTGGCTTTCCTGTACAGAATTTTAATTCTAACATACATACAGCATTGTTACCTGTATTAGCTTTCTAACAACTCAGTAGACTAATTCAAGATAGTGTTAATACTAAATTATTCAAAATGCTGGCCTGAAATGCTGTTGGCCTGATATTTTAATTCATTGCCAGGCTTAACCTATCCCAATCAAACCTAAATTGACTTCCCACATACCTGTAATCATTGATCTAATGTTAATCTCCACAAATTAGATGTTAAGTTATAAAAAATGTCAGAGAATGTTTGGTTAATAAGCTTACATTGTAGTTTTTTTTCACCATGAGGTTATGATGAGCTTCATCTGTTTAATTAGTGATATTGAAATATTGGTTGATCTATACTGATATCTTTTTATGTCTTAGCTGGATGTATTTGTTGCCTTAGCTAATAATTCAGGCACATGAAACGTAAGTTTCTATAATAAATTATTCCTATAAATGTTATGGTTAACACAGAGTTGATTTTTTTCTCTTTCCTTCTAGCTTCAGATGAAAAGGTCTATGATGCATATGTGTTATATCCTCACAATGTATCAGGCTCTGTATATTTGACTGAAACCTTTGTCTTCAAATTATTACCTGAAATCCTAGAAAAACAGTGCGGATACAAGCTCTTTATTCTTGGAAGGGATGATGTGCCAGGGCAAGGTATCTATTTTTAATATCTGCGCTTAGAATTTTTAAATTGTTCCTTAAAGGGCAACTCTTAAATAAAGGTTTTGAAATGTTGATCTGGTGGTAAAGTTTATACTGTAGCATTCTTGATTGGGTTTTAAAACATGCACTACTTTGAGAACAAACACAATTGTGTCCCTTGAGGAATACGGATAAGGATAAAAGGATTCCAGTTATTACAATTAGAACTTCATATACTTTCAAGGATTAGGGCATAATTATTGGTGGAAAATGACTTCTGTGGAAATGGATAGAATCCCAAGATTGTATCTGACAGAATAGAATTGTCTTTAGTGAGATTACACAGGGTCAGTGCAGCTTACAAACTACATTAGGAGTTGTGATCTTCCTGTCTTTGACTTTAAAATACCTGGACAATAAGAAGTTAAATTGTTGCACAAAGAATTTCGGCTATAAAAGTTCAAAGTGATACAATTATTACAGAGGTGGTATTCAGCAGGTTCTGACCAGTTCTGGAGAACCGGTAGCGGAAATTTTGAGTAGTTCGGAGAACCAGCAAATACCACCTCTGATGGGAGATTTTACAGTATCCTTCCCCTGCCACGCCCACCAAGCCACGCCAACAGAACCGGTAGTAAAAAAAATTGAATCCCACCACTGAATTATTGTCAGTAAGGCTGGTATGCTGAATGAGCTACTACAGATATAATTTAAAATGAAAAATATTTAACTTCCAAAATATCTTAGGAGGGTGTTTTCCTGTACAAGATTTGAGCAGCTAGATACAATGGTAAAATATGGATGGTATAATTGAGTTCCCTACCACGAACATACATGTATTAGTGGCATATCAGGAACTGATAATATATTGCATATATATTTGAGTGTAATTATATGGCATAGAGAGATCATTATCCTGAGCCATATATTTATAAGACAAAAAGCTGATTGTGACCCATATCTTAGAACAGCATGTTTTTGTACAGTTAGAATATAAATGTTACCTATAAACTGGCCTCCTTATTGAATAAAATAATGCAATTCAGAGAAGTATGTATAATACATATATTAATGAGGTAAATTGTAAAGATGATAAGGACACTTGAGTTCAGTTTTTTATTTAATTATGTTGTTAAAGTTTATCACATTTTTTGTAATGTGATATGGCCTTACAGCTACTGAATAAAGTGTTAGTTATATTGTGTAGCATTCCTGATATTATCTGGTAAGGCTGGAACAGAAGTCATCTCAAGCCCTAAAGTTCCAGTGGCATCCCAAATCTGGTCCTTAGAACAGTAGACTAAGCTAGAAGAGATGTGTTTCTTTAAATATTGAGGAAAACAGTTTGTGGTACTGTCTTTTTCTGGTAAGGGTGGAATTGTCTTATAAATTTTCAGGCCTTGCTCTTGGTATTTTCTTCCATTGCATCTCATCTTCTAAGGATAATTCTGAATAATCTCTCCTTTGACTTTTTTCTCCTTATGACTTCACTGTTTACAAGTCTCCTTGTGATTTACCGCTTCCGCCTCCTATGTTGTTATGAATTTGGGATATTTCTGTCTGAGATGTTTCACATTCCTCCTTCATGATTTGGGCTTAAGCAACATTTTCCTTCTTACTGCTTTGGTATTCTTTATTTGCTTCTCTTCACTAAGATTATCGCTTTATTCTCCACATTTATGTTTTCCCTTTTGGATTTTCACTTCTTTATACCCCTTGAATCTAGTGCTGTCTCAGTATCCTGCTGTCATTCTTCTGTTTCTTTTATTGTATTTATTTTTCAGTGGCAATATGAGGATCATTTTCCTATAATAAAATGTTTAAAAGTCTGTATCTATTGACTTATTCAAAAATCCTTGCAATATCAATTGTCTGGAATTCTATGAAAATTCGAGAGTATGGTTTATCCAGGTGTCTCCTTGATCTGTTCCTTCAAAGTCCTAGTTTGGATATTGTTTTTTCAATCACTATATCTTCTATCATTGATACTGCAATCAGCTATGTATAAACGTATCAGCTATGCTTAATATTGGAACTGCTCATATTTTATAACCATACTATCACCTTCAGAACAGCCAGATTCATCTTGTATTCATGAAAGGGATGGCTTGCCCTCATTGAAACTGGATTATGAGTTTGCCTTCCATGTCTGACATGGAAGAACACCAATGCATAATCATGACTGTAACATTTCTTTTAAAATTCAGTGAAATTTATAATTCACTGAAATTTGCAGGAAAGTTAGCAGCTTATGAGAGCAACGTTTGTCAATCTTGGACTTATATGCCGTGGTGATTTTCTAGATAGATTTTCTTTGGACAGAATGACAATTTGCACAGATAACTCTTGTATCATTCTTAAAACTTCAGTTACCCTTGGTTGATTAATACTGGCTAAGCAACCTTCCCATCTTCAATCTGTTGAGAACTTTGCCTAATGCTAGTACAGAAGGCCCAAAATTGAAAAGGGAATATTGATTATGAGACCAACATCACATTATTTAGAACTGTATATAGTAAAAAAGAAAGTGATAAATGATGTGCAAGAGAAGGATAAAAGAATTAAGGGAGGACATTGGTCTGGCTGTGTCCCTTTCTTTTCCACAGTATTGTTTAATTGTTCAAACAGTATGTCTACCTGGACAAAATGTGGGTGGTTTTGAAAGTGTCATTAGAAATGACTAGCCTTTTTTCCTTGGAGACATCTGCCTTGTCTTTGAGTTCTTTGTATGTTCTATCTGCTATGATATTTTTGGCCAGAAAAGAAGAGAGTTAGATGTGATGCATAACTAGCTGATAATGGATAACTCATTTGTCTGTGTAACTAGACTAGACAATAGGGGAAATGAAGTTTTTCAGAAGAAGGCAATTGCAAACCATTTCCATGTTGTTACCAAGAAAACTAGGGACAGGTTTCCATGAAGTCATTAGGAATTGAGATGATTCAATTCAGTTTACTTCTTTAGATTCAAGAAACATGATCCATGTATCTAAAATTAACCAAGTTTTATAATCAGTACCTGATTAAAATGTATGCCTTACCTGGCCCATATTGATTTGGTGTTTTGTTTTTTTTCATTCACAGCTGTCATTACTATTGTGGATAAAATGATCAAGCTAAGCAGAAGAGTGATCATTATTTTAATGCCAGATCTATATTGTGGTGGCAGGCAGAATTTGTTCTCTGAACAGGAACTTGCAGTCTACAGTGCTCTTATACAGGAGGAAACCAAAGTTATATTGATTCAGCTAGACAAAATAAAAGATTTCAATAGTATTCCAGAATCCCTCAGATATCTTAAGCAAAAGCATGGCATACTCACATGGAGGGGAACTTTTACAGAAACCACTGAAATGGCAACTACAAGGTTTTGGAAGAATGTGAGATACCAGATGCCAGCCAGTCCAAGCCCACTTTCCTCAAACTTGCATTTTTTGCCAATAACTTTTCACTCTTCTCAGATATCAGATGGATGATGTCAAAGCCACACCTGCAGTGTTTACTTGAAATCTATTCCAGTGGATCCTTATAGATGCACAAACCTGTGCACCTGCTAGAGATTGTTCCAAGTCTTGGATCAACAGAAACACAATTCAGAACAGTATTTTCTGAAAGTTTATTTACCCATAGGCTGTGAAGTGCATGAGCTACTTGGGCAAGTGGCAAAATAACGTGAATGCTGGACAAGGAAGAAGTTGAAATTGTTTTTGCATACTATTGTTTTACATGCAAAATAAGTGAGTATATAAGGAGCTATTTTATGAGAAAACTTCATATGAAAAAGAGTTTAAATCTAAACCCCAAGGGTTTAAGCAAAATGGTAAATATTGATCTAGCTTTGATGTTGATTATACCTATCAGCAAGGATTTAATCCTTGTATTTCAAGGCTTTTAAGGGTGAATTCTAGTCCTTCCTTTAACTGATATCCTTCCTAGAATTTCCATTGAAAAACAGCCTGTATGGCTATAAGTTGATGAGGTGGGCATATTTCTGTCTTTTGAACAACAATGTCTATACAATACTCATTTGCTTGTACTGCCTTAGTTAAACGGAAGATTCACGGTAGTTGCAAAAAATATTTTGGCATGTACTCTCTATATAGAGTTACTGTATATTCCAAATACACTACATATGGAACATGGTACAATCCATATACTATGGGTATTACTATAGTATCTCCCAAGGAGAAAAATTGAAATGACATATTTAAATAAATTGCCATACCAGGAAGCAAGGGTAAAGCGTGCTTTTTAATTTTAGTTTGACTTTTTAAATTAAACACTTTTGTTATTAAAATAATTATTTTGAATTGAGTGATTTGTCAGTAGTTCAGAAACAATTGTTATAGTTCAAATCACTAAATATATGCAATACAAGCATTTTCACCTTCTTTTCAGAAATTGTATTTGGTAGTAGGGGAGTTCAGATTTAATAATTTGATCAAATATATAGCTATTTTTTGTATACTGTGGTACAGTTGTACAAATTATTCTTGTACTTGTCATGTCCAATTTTCAGACACTGCCTGGACAAGTTCCTGAAGTTTTCTGATGTGGCTTGTCATTTCCTCAGGTTGAGAAAGTGACAGGCCCAAGGTTTGCTTGATTGGCTTTGTGCTTATGATGGGACTAGAACTCACAATCTCCTGATTTCTAGCCTGATGCCTTAACAAATATATGACACTGTCTCACATACTATTTTTAATCATAAAAATGATAAAGAGGTCAAAACATAGTTCTGAGGCCCTGTGTAGGGAACCCAAAGGAGCATACAGTCAGGGGGTTGATTGGTGCCATGGGAGCCTTCCCCTTGCCTTTGTCAACTACTTTATAATAGGGTTTAATTATTCTTGCCTGCTTAATTTTTATAATTTTAAATTTTTTAACTTCAAATTTTAATATTTATACAAGGTTTTATACTTCAATATGTTATTGTACATTGTTCAGAGTCTCTCCTTGCAGGAGATAAATAGTTCAGAAATGTGAAATATAAATATAAACAAACAAATAAGTAAATTTTATAAACCACAAAATAAAGTTATTTCTATGAAGTCTTTGTGTCTTTGTTGTGTAATGTGCTGCAACACTCACCTGAAATCTGAGAAAGGTACCCGAAGAATGAAATCAAATGGGAAAGATTAAAAAAATTAAAACCACTGTATCAAAGGCTTTTGAAAACCTGAATGGGAAAATACTGACATGTAAAGTTCATTAATAGTATCCTATGTACCCCTCTGAAAAGACCTACAAGATTTTGGATATAACAGATCAGTCAGCTTCAACCTTTGTCATGATTAATGCTCATTACAATACCTTACTTAAATAAAACCTACTGCATGCTTTATGTGAACTTGATTCTGAAAATTCTTTGGTTGTAAAGAATGTGGGGGATATAGGACAGGTTTTCCTGTGCTATTGTTAAAGCTGTGGAATTGTCTTAGAAAATGAAAGAAGTGATCTGGTATAATCATTTTCAGCCTTTTGTACCTTAACCATCATAAATTACTTTGTCCATACCCCTGAATCCTAACACTTAGAGCACTTAGACTTCTATGCTTCACATGCTTTACAACCTTCTCTAAGCGGTGGTTAGAATGCAGTATTGCAGTCTAACTCTGCCAACTGCCAGCAGTTCGATCTTGACTGGAGCAAGGTTAACTCAGCCTTCCATCCTTCCAAGGTTGGTAAAATGAGAACCCAGATTGTTGGGAGCAATAAAACTATTTAGAGAGGACTGTAAAGCACTGTGAAGTGGCATATGCAGTGGAACCTCAGGTCGTGAATGCTCCTGACCATGACCAAATCAGGTGATGACCAAAAATTTCGGAAAATTTTTGCATCTGGTTGCGAACACATCTTCGGGTGATGATCAATGCAGCAATTTTCCCTGCTGTGGCAATTTCCTCTTCTGTGCCTTTTTTTTTTTTTTTTTGGTCCACGCATGCGCAGTCAGCCTTGCTTCCGGTCACAAACAAATCAGGTTGCGACCGAAATCCTGGAATTGATTACGGACATGACCGGAGGTTCCACTGTAAGTCTGTTATTGCTATTACTATATTGCAATATTTGGGCGACTGTTTATAATGATTTTACCTTAAGGAGAGAATATCAGAAAAGTGCAGAAAAAGCAACTGAAACAAATAAAAACGTTTACTGAAGAATAATCAGGAGCTATAAAATTCACAGGAATTATGCTGGACATTCTAGCAGCCTCTGGCTAATCCTTGCAGATTTCCAAAAGCTAAGCAGGTTCAACTTGGAAATCTGAAAAACATTTTGGAAAAAGGCAGTCAGAAACTGCCTGCATTTATGTAGCTGCCAATAACATTAAATGACTTAATTGTTAATAGTTTAATAAAAGTTAAGTTTAATTATTCAAATCAAATTGATCCCTGAAAATGTAACTGAAAGCAGAGATAATGTACACAGTGCATTTGGAAAATTAATTTTCGTAAGACAACTTGTGACTTGGAAGATTCAGCCATCCTAAACAACATCAAGCTAGCTTGATGAAAACAGCCAATCCTTAAAAGGGTCTTTGATTACTTTGTACAAAGAATTTGTCTGCAAAAGAGAGAAATTCCAAGTATATTTCCCATCAGTCCCCAAGTACTGGAAACACTGTATGTACAATAACAATGGATGGGTCTATAGAGGAAGGCATTTTGGAATCTTGAGAGCATCACAATATGCCACCAATTAGTTTTTAGGGAATACCTAGGCTTCTACTCTAGAACTGATTGACATCCTCCACTTCATTAGGACACACATGCTTGGACCCAAAGCAACAGAATGGCAGCTATCTGGATGTAATGTTGGAAAAATAGATTCAGTCGCTCCTGCAGGGCTCAAGGAATTCCTCAGCAGCCTTGCTGAGGGCTTCATTTTCCAGAAGGCCAAAGCACAAAAAAGTGGATTACTCTCCCAGATCTGACAGCGCAAAGTGGGAAGAAGAAGATCCAATAGAAAGGGAGGGAGAGAAAGAAGGAGACAGAGCTCGCAAGCCTGAACAGTTCAGTCAAGCAGGGGATCCAACAGGAACCTTCAGAGTGCAGCATAATTGTGAACTTCTGCCTATGCTCCACTTTATTTATTTATTTGATTTGTCAATCGCTTACAAGATAATAGGTATAAGTATAAACATAGCTATGAATACATGAAATGGATACATATAAGAAAAATAAAAAGAAACAACAGGGCAGGGACGTAGGCATGTTGGTGAGCTTATGCACGCCCCCTACAGACCTCTTAGGAAAGGGGTGAGGTCAATAGTAGACAGTATAAGTTTAAAGTTTTTGGGGTTTGGGGAAGAAACCACAATCAGGTAGAATATTCCAGATATTGACCACTCTGTTGCTGAAGTCGTATTTCCTGCAATCAAGTTTGGTGCAGTTAACCTTGAGTTTGTATTTATTGTGTGCTCTTGTATTGTTATGGTTGAAGCTGAAGTATTCATTGACAGGTAGGACATTGCAATATATAATGTTATATACGATACTTAGATTGGACCAAAGGCGGCGTAGTTCTAGGTTTTCTAGGTCTAGAATTTCAAGTCTGGTGGCATAAGGTATTCTTCAACGAGTAGAGTGGAGAACTCTTCTTGTGAAATATTTCTGGACTTTCTCAACTGTGTTAATATCAGATACGTAAGGTGGGTTCCAGACTGATAAGCTGTATTCAAGTATTGGTCTAGCAAATGTTTTGTATGCTCCAGTTAGTAGTGTGATATTATCTGAGAAAAAACTATGCAGGATTAGGTTAACAACTCTTAATGCCTTTTTGGCTATGTAGTTACAGTGGGCTCCAGCACTTAGATCATTAGAGATGAGTACTCCAAGATCCTTGACAGAGTTTGGATCATCAACAAGGTCTTGACTATTCAGCCTGTATTTTATTTTCTGATTATTATTTTTTTGCCAATATATAAGAGAGAGCATTTATTTGTTGAGATTTGAAGTTGCCATTTGTTTGACCATTTTGATACATAGTCAAGATCTTTTTGAAGGGTAGCAGTATTGTCTGTGGTATTGAACAGCTTTACATCATCAGCGCAGAGAACGCAGTTGCTCTTAATATGATCACATTTATGTAGAGTATGAAAAGAGTCGGTCCTAGAACGCTGCCTTGGGGGACACCACTGTTGACAGGCACAGAATTTGATAGGACGCTCCCAATTTTGACCATTTGATGTCTGTTTGACAGGAATGCTTCTATCCAGTTACGCAGGTGTCCAGAGATACCATAAGATTTGGATGTGCGGAATAGCTAGCATGGAACGAAACTGCTTGCAATATTTAGGAATTACTATATACGATATTTAAACGAACTAGTCCGAAAGCGCTCCTGCGATGTTATCGACGGCGTACTTTCCTCTAAATACCGCCTTGGGTTCAGTGAAATTTCTCTCTCCTTTTTGCGCGCGTAATTTCTACTGCGCGCCAACTGACAATCTCGCCCTGGTTCGCGAAAAGGCGAGGCTTCCGAGCGGAGCCGATTTGCTCGTTCCCGCCAACGCCGCGACTGGCGGGCCTCCTTTAGTTGCCGCGTCTGCGCCGCTACTCTTGGCCGGGGCGGAAGTTCTCCGAGTTTGTAGCGCAAGTGCGTGATGCGAGGTTGCAACAGTCGTTTCTTGTATGCACACAATGGCGCAATTTCCTATCGAAGAATTCGGCGCGCCAGAAAAACTTCTTCCACAACATTAGGTTCTCACAAAAATCCTCCCACCCATCATCCCAAATGTTGGGCAAAACGACCTGTTGCTTTCTTACGGCTATTTCTAGGTACTCTCAAGTGTCCCGGCTGCGGCATTGAGAGCCTCTTGATTCCTGTCTTTCACTCCCGCCCTCCGGCCCGGCCCGGCCCATTTTCCAATCCTCCCGGTTGATCCTAGACTGGAGTTACAACTTCCACAGAGAGAGAGAGAGCAGGGTTATCTGTTGCGCCGAAAGGTTGACTCATGACAGGTTACCGACGCCTGTCTTATGGCTCCCCGCTTGGTGCGTTGCAGCCAAGTCGTCATGCAAGCCTAGCCGGTTCCTAGTCAGGCGCTCGCGTTTATGCCGCTCGAGGAGCCGCACTCGGCTGCCGGCTGCTCAAAATCGGGAAGGTCGGTCCCGATTACCGTTTGGATGGTAGATCACCAAAAAAATCACCCAGTGGAAGTCGAGAAGAAGACAGTGGCAAACCGCTTCCTTTGGGTTACCTGAAAATCCTCGTGGATATATCCATGGAATTTGTAGCGAAGGTCCACTTGAGGGAATTCTTACCTATTTATTCATCTTCATGGTGCCTTAAAATCGTTCTTGTTCAGGGCAGGTGACTATACTTTGTGTTTGAAATACTTGGGGCTGGGAATCGAAGGGTGTTGGGTGGGCTCCTTCAAACCATTGTTTATTCATTTAAATTTATATGCGTTCTGGCACTGATATGGTATGAAACTTCCCATCTGCGGCAAACATATTGAGGGTGACATCAAGAGATAGATAGAAGAACGATGGATAGACAGACAGACAATAGATATATATATATATATATATATATATTTAGCGAAAAGCTTTCTCCCCCCTCCCCCCCGCAATACTGGATTTGACCCGTATTCCGCAACACTGAATTTGTCTGTGCGCTGAGTTCAGATGCCTTCTTTATCAGGAAACTGGTGGAACCGGTTTAATAGGAAAAAAAAGTAGCTGTTCCGCGATCCCTCTTCTAATTTTCTATTTCTTTTCCTGACGGATGGTGGTTTTGAGAGCTTCCTTCCGGAGGGAAAGTTTGCCAGCAGGAAATCCGAGGCCCCTTCGTTGCCTAAAAATCCCTTTTCAGAGATAAGGAATTATGCAAATCAGCCATGTGCAAAGCAGTCATATTTTCCACCCAAAGTTCACTTACTTTAAAAGTATTACCTGTCATCTTGCATTTCCTTATAGAAGTTTTATGTCAAGTTATCTTCACAGGCAGAGCATTTCCAGTGAAAAGAAAAGACTACAGGATTTCACCATAAATTGCTAAGAATTTTTTTAAATCTATTTAATAGCTTCCTGTCTTCTCAGGTTAGTAGATTTTAATATTGTTACATCATCTTATCGTTACCTATGAAATGATAGCATAATAAACTACAGTATTAGTTTATTGTATTAATACAGTATTAATTTATAGCTATTGTGTTGTATCTATATAAATCCCATTGAACATAATTTCTGAAACATAAATAGATTTTCTTATACAGTAGTGGGATTGGCTATTTTGCCAAAATAATTGCATAAATATATTGGTATATTTTTAAGTTCATAGGTTTTTATTTAAATAAACTTCATATTATTTTTTCTTTTTAATTAATATCTGAAGATGGACATAATATTCCAGTTTTCTAAACAGTTTGCACAATCTTGTAGAAATGTATCCAAATCATTTTGGGATTATTGTAGATTTTACCACTAGTAGTGTATATTTTAGGACTCCATGAGATTTGGCATTGTTTATGAACTCTCTGTGACTAATAACTTTCAGCAAATAGACAATATTTTAGTTTTAAATGAAACTAGACTCTAATAAAGTATGCTGGTTTGTTATATTACCTGAACATAAAGTAACATAACAGATAACAAAAGAGGATTATACATTCAAAACAGCAACATTTTAGTTAATTACCAGAGTGAGTAATTGTTTTGAATTGACTTATTTTTAAGCAGATAGTAATGATATTGGAGTTGGGCAGTTAGCACATGCAAATTAGTTTACTTTATTGTCATTGCAACTCGTACAACGAAATTAAATGCCATCTTCAGTGTACATTATACAGTAACTAAAAATAAAACACAAACACAAATCCTTTGCATTTCCTACAATTGAATTGAAAACCCCTGATATTGCATTAATATTTTACTATACAGTAGAATTCAATATAGTTACTGCTCTGGCATAGAGCCTGTTTTTCAGCCTATTTGTCCTTGTTTTTATTATCCTGTACTGTCTGCCAGATGGTAATAATTCAAAAAAACAGTGCCCAGGATGAGATGAATCTTTAAGAATGTTTTGAATTTTCTTAAGACAGCGGGAGCTATAAAGCTCTTCCAAAGAGGGGAGAGGGCAACCTATGATCCTCTGGGCAATGATCTTAACCTTGTGGAGCGCTGTCCTATTTGCCACTGTGCAACTGGTGCAGTAAGTTAAAATACTCTATGGTGCAGCGGTAGAAGGTCACCAGCAGTTTTTCATTCAGTTGTTTCATGAGAAGCCTAAGAGAAGTTGTTTTCTGAAAAGAAGGCAGAGAAGTATAATTTCTGCTGGGCCCTTTTGACCAGTGCTGCAATGTGAGAGCCCCAGGTCAGGTCCTCTTTTATAACACCCAGAAACTTAAAACTGGCCACTTGCTCCACTTGGTCTCCATTGATAAGCAAGGGCTGGATGTCTGATCTATTCCTTCTATAGTCCAATATAAGCTCCTTGGTCTTATTGGTGTTAAGGAACAAGTTATTGTGTCCATACCAGGAAAGCAACTGGTTCACCTCATCTCAATAGGCAGACTCATCCCCTCAGAGATGAGTCCCACCACTGTTGTATCATCTGCAAATTTAATAATAGTATTACTGGCATGAATGGGAATGCAGTCATGTACATAAAGAGTATAGAGTAAGGGACTCAACACACAATTGTGTGATGTACCCGTGTTAAGAATAAGGGCTGAAGAAATATGATTACCTAATATGACCATCTGAGGGCGGTCAGACAGGAAATCCATAATCAAAGGCATATTTATAAATTTATATATATATATGTATGTATGTATGTATGTATGTATGTATGTATATATATATGGCATTCGGCTTTGTTCGGGTATTTTCCCACGTCATTGTAGTTGTTCTTTTAAAGTTGTAGCAACGTTTCAGCAGAATCTCATCTGCCATCATCAGGCTTCTGTATAGTGTTCGTCTGTGAGTCAGACTTTTACAGTGGTTTCAGATTTAAATTTGGGGCAGCCTATTGCTGTGCCAGAATGGTATCAGGATGAAGAAAAAAGCATTCTGGCACAGCAATAGGCTGCCCCAAATTTAAATCTGAAACCAC